CAGCTCCAAGTTGCAGGAGCCTCTGTCCTTCCTTCCGCAGCAGTGGCACCTCCTGGGCCGCCCCCCCCGGGTGGGCTGCCGGTAGGTGGCTGCTGCCCCAGCTCAGGCTCAGGGAACAGTTAGATTGAGCCAGGTGCTGCCTGCGAGCTGGAGCCGCACCTGAGCAGCTAGCACCCTGCCTGGGCAGCCCCAGGGGGCACCACCACTGCAGAGGGAAGGACTGGGTGTCCCCACCACCCCCCCAACAGCTCACCTCCCAGCCATGGGAGACATGGGCAAACTCCACGGGGAAAGAAAAAAAGAAGATCAGGCTCCTTGCAGTGACTGAAGTCCCTAAATTGAAATGGTGGGTTTTTAATCGTTGCAATTAAAAACCCACCATTTCAATTTAAGCGGCTACACCCCCATCACATGTAGAAGTTCCCTAGGTGTCTCTACTTGATGCACTAGTCCATTCCTGTGATTTATCAGTGCCTAGCCCTTAGGTCCTTGTAAGATTTTGGTGAGGAAGAAATAGTGTCTTTACAGTCTCTATAAGAGAAAGCCATAATGGCATTAGAGTTTATATTTAAAATATATGACATGCTCCAGAGAGTTCCTCCACCACAGCTTGCAAGGCTAAACTTGACATTCACAAGCAGCAGCAGCAGCAGCACTGGGCAGTCTCAATTTAAAAGTAACAAATCTTTTGAAGGTCACTTAACATGGACATGCAGTCTGCCCCCCCCCCCCACCCCCAGTTTCCCTGACTGAATTCAAAAGACGGAGCTGTCAAAAAAGATGAAGAGAAGCCAACTGGGCTTCAGACCCCTCTGGTCAGGGGCTCAGGAAAGGAGAACTGAAAACCTCAGGATTCAGGAAAAATCTCAACAGCTCCTGCCCCAGCCCTGAAAGAACTAACAGCCAATTACAGTGTCACCCTAGCCCCAGGCATTAGCACAGAGCAGGCACCCTGAAGAAGTTTTTTTGGATGCTCCTCCAGTGCTCCTCCAAGTTTTCCAATAATCTTGCAGAAAAATGGACTTTTAATAATCTCCAGGACTTAACGAAAAGCTTCTTGGGCATAGCAGCACCCAGTGAAATTCCATGCAGCCGACTGCGCTCTGCAATCCCTGCCCAGGAAGACTGCAGACAAAAGTCTGCTCATCATGGTTTAAAAACAAATACATACATAAATAAATGCATCAAACAGAGCTGATATTGGAGGTCTGGAGTATTTACCTTTGGCATATCCCTAAGGAGTTATATTTATTTTAAAATCTGATTTTAGGATCAAATAAAGAACTATGGATGCAATTCCCCTTTTGTTTGGATAGGCATAAATCAGAAGTAACCACTAAAGTCAATAAAGTTGCATCAGTATAAGAATCACCATGAGTAAAAGAAAATAAGTCTGTAGGTTTTGAATCATGGCTTTCCTGGCCGTATTCTTATTCCACTAGGAACACAAATCCCCCAGACTGAATGGCTACAATATACATTAAAAACACTCTACAAATCACTGGGATCACATTTTATCTGGTGTGCTTCTAATGACTCTGGGTTTTTCCTCCCATTTACATTTCATTCTGGGTTCAACCACGGAGCAGACCGGTTCCTTCATTCATAGCCATCACTGGGAATTCACACACAGTACAAAGCAACTGCATCCCTGCAGACTGAACATGCCACCTCTATGACATTTGAAACCTCTTCTGGCCTGAAGATCAAGTAGTGCAAATCCATTTTTGAACTTGCAAATCTCGAGTCCAGGGAGTAATGCTGAGCCTCAGGCACTGTTAGGGTAGTGACTGTGGTTCACTTGAAAAGATCATAAATATGCACATAAAAGCTTTAAAAAATGTGTATAACGTAAGTGAATAACGTACAGCACTGAATTCTAGGGAGAGAAGAAAAGTTTAAAACAGAGGTTGCATTGGCATGGGAAATACTGCTTATAGCAAACCATCATGTGCATAAAAGCATTGCAGACTTGGGCTTTCATGCCTGTGCTAAGGTGGAGTAAAGACAAGGGCAAGGGAAAGAATGATTCCTGTCCTGGCTAATGCATCCTATAATAGCAGCCTGAGATGACCACCAGTGACAAAAGTACAACACAACGAGTAAAACCACTCAGCTAAACGCGCCATTACGATACATGCACAGTTGTTTTATAAGCAGACCAGGGGAAGGTTGGTACTCATCACCTAACAACATATGATTAGGCTCACTTCAAAAGTGAAGACAGTCAGGTGATGCGAGGGTTCATGCAAACCAGGCATATGATAAAAAGCTATACGCATGTAAAAACTGGACCAACTTTGCCCTCCTCCAGATGACGTGCTTGAGTAAATGCAAAGTGATATTTTCCCTTGCCACATGTTATGAGATAAAAAGAGGTTATAAAATCTTCCATTTCTTGATTACATGCGACCATAAATGCCAGCCTGTTTTAATTAAAAGGACGGAGCATCAGCATTTAACAAGGTTTATAGGGACTGCTTAGAAGAAAACGTGTCTTTACACATCTGTAATATGCTGGATTGTTATAACAACGTACAGCTTGCCACACCACATGTGAAGTGTACATTGCTCAGCAGCGCTGTCTGAGGGCTTCCCGAGCCATTTACATATTCCTCCCAAATCAAAGTAATGGGCAAACTCTGCAGCATGCATCTCAGTTACCTAGATACATACTGGTTTTGCTCAATTTATGTGCATGGTGCTGTCTTCATTGCCTCTGAGCAATTTTGGCTAAAAAGGATGATTCCTCCAAAGTATAATAGAAGGTTGCCCAGCAAACCAGCCCTAAGCATTTTTAATGTGTCATATACCATCAGTGATCATGACTCCAAATGTTAGTGGTCCTCATTGAGGTCACTTCCATTATATACTCATCTTTTCAGGGCTCTACTACATTCATTCAAAATCTGCCTTGAGCTCAAATTTGACACACTACCTTTTTTTATTATTATTATTATTATTATTATTATTATTATTTAGAGTTTGGAAGCCTCCCCAAAAGCATTCAGGAACATCTGAAAGCCAAGTGGAAGGAGGAAGCTATCACCAAAGAGGAGTATACCTCCACAGCAAGAGTCTGTAGGGAGGCTGTTAGGAAGGCCAAGGTGGAGACCAAACTAGGGCTAGCAACAAGGATCAAGGATGACAAAAAAGTCCTTTTTTAAATACATAGGGAGTAAAAAAAAGGCACCAGGCAATATGGGGTCCCTGCAGGATACGCTTGGCAATCTGGTGGTTGCACCAGATGGAAAAGCAGACCTTTTTAACAAAGTCTTTGCCTCCATTTTTCTGAGCAGGGACCAGGACTTCTCCCCCACCGGGATTCAGGACAGACTCAGGAGTGACTCTGCCAGGCCTAGGGTCAGGGAGGACCAAGTTAGGAAACTTCTGGAAGGGCTGGACATGGTCAAATCAGCAAATCCAGACGCTCTCCACCCTAGGGTACCGAGGGAATTGGCAGGGGTCATCGTGGGGCCCCTGGCATGGCTTTATGAGCACTCGTGGTGCTCTGGCCAGGTGCCAAAAGACTGGAAGAAGACCAATGTGGTCTCCATCTTCAAAAAAAGGGAGGAAGGAGGGCCTATAGTTGCCTGGGTCCATTAGTCTTACTTCAGTCCTGAGGAAGCTCTTTGAAAAAAATTATCCAGAGGCACATTTGGGAGGGACCAGCAGGGGGGAGGATGCTCAAGGGCAACCAGCATGGGTTCATTAAGGGCAGGTCCTGTCAGATCACCCTGACTGCCTTCTATGATCAGATCACAAAATCATTGGACATAGGTGTCACGGTGGACGTAGTCTTTCTGGACTTCAAGAAGGCCTTTGACACTGTCTGCCACTCCATTCTCATTGAAAAGCTAGGCGACTGTGGCATTGATGCCTACACAGTCAGATGGGTCACAAATTGGCTGAGGGGCTGCACCCAGAGAGTGGTGGTGGACGGGTCATATTTGACCTGGAGGAAGGTGGGCAGTGGAGTCCCCCAGGGCTCGGTCCTAGGGCCCACACTGTTCAATTTCTTTATCAGCAACTTGGACGATGGGGATGAAAGCACCCTGTTTAAATACACAGACGACACCAAGATTTGGGGCAAGGTGGGCACACTAGAAGAGAGGGACAGGATACAACTGGACCTGGACAGGTTACAAGGGTGGGCAAATGTGAACAGGATGGGATTCAATACAGACAAGTGCAGAGTAGCACTTGGGCAGGAAGAACCAGCAGCATGCCTATAGGCTGGGGAACTCCCTTCTCGAAAACACAGTGGCAGAAAGAAATGTTGGAGTCATTATTGATTCTAAAATGAACATGGGCAGCCAATGTGAGGGCGCAGTCAGCAAGGACAACTGCACCTTGTCATGCATCCACAGATGCATCTCAAGCAGGTCCAAGGAGGTGATCTTCCCCCTCTATGTGACATTGGTCAAGCCAGTTGGAGTACTGTGTCCAGTTCTGGGCACCACACTTCAGGAGGGATGTGGACAGCATAGAGAGGGTCCAGAGGGCCACTCGCATGATCAGGGGGCAGCAGGAGAGGCCCTACGAGGAGAGGCTAAGGGACCTGAACCTGTTCAGCCTCCACAAGAGAAGGCTGAGGGGAGAGCTAATGGCAATCTATAAACTTACCGGGGGGACCAGAGGGGAATGAGCAAGACCCTGTTTCCCTGAGCACCTCCCAAAGTAACAAGGAATAACAGCCACAAGCTGACTGAGAATAGGTTCAGGCTAGACATCAGGAGGCACTACTTCACAATCAGGGCAGCCAGGATCTGGAACCAGTTTCCAAGGGAAGTGGTGCTGGCTCCTACCCTGGGGGTCTTTAAAAGGGGGGTTGACTACTACCTAGCTGGGGTCATATGAGCTTAACTTAGTGCGGGTCATATCAGCCCAGTATTCATTCCTGCCCTGGGCAGAGGGCTGTACTTGATCTGCTGAGGTCACCTCCGACCCTACAACTATGAATCTATGAAGGAGTAAAAGATACCAAACCTTTTTATGGTGCAATGTTGTTGTGCTTCTGCTTGTCAGAACTGGCTTTAATTTAAGCAATGGGATTTGGAGTGCATGCACTCCATGACAGCTCTAGGCATTATTCTAGATATTTGGGAAAAAAAAGTAAAAAATGTCAAAACAAAACAAAATGTGAACTCCCCAAATTAGCCAATAGACATAGATCAGCATCCCAACCACTGTCAGAAATTGACAGACTTACTGATGATCTTGTAACATTTTGGAGCTGGCAGGAGTCAAGCTCCCAAAAATCATGGGATTCAAAAAAACACAACAATATAAAAGTTTAGTGCTCTCTGGTTTATTTGGTTTTTAGTGTCCCCAAGGTACACCTCTTCATTCTAACTTTCTGCCAAAACTAAAACCTTTTCATTTACAAGCAAACAGCTGAGATAAATCAACTATTCTCAACTCCACTATTCAATGTCAGCCACTTACTAAAATCTCATTTAACAGAATCAGCTGCTTATTAGCACCAACAACTTAACCTGCCTTATGTGTACAAGCTTTTTCCCCCACTAGAATGAAGCCTGCATGCAAGCGTGTTTACTGCACAGGTAGCAACTGCTGAGCATGCATGATCATCTCGTTCGCATTTTTACTTTGGTCTCTACTTTTGTAACAACTAGCAATCCTATGCTGCAGCAAAGTGCTCTGCCCAGTGTGACTCTAATAAGCAGCAAACATGGTTTCATAGGATTCACTGACAGCTCCACTGAAGTTAATAGAATCACATAGAGGGCCAACGTGGTTCCCATCTTCAAAAAGGGGAGGAAAGAGGACCCGGGGAACTACAGGCCAGTCAGTCTTACCTCAATCCTGGGCAAGCTGTTTGAGAAAACTATTCTGGCACACATCCAGGAGGGGCCAGCAGGGAACTGCATGCTCAGGGGCAACCAGCACGGGTTCATCAGCGGCAGGTCCTGTCAGACCAACCTGGTGGCCTTTTACGACCAGGTCACTAAATCATTGGATGCAGGGGTGGCAGTGGATATAGTTTTCCTAGACTTCAGGAAGGCTTTTGACACTGTCTCTCACCCCA